CCAGACAGGGATAAATCAGTTTTTAGAATCAGAACAACCTCTCCTTCTGCGTTTATTTTTAAATTGCTAGTGTGCGACATATGTACAGGCTGGTCAGTTGGTCGGACAGATGGATGGTCAGTCATTTAGCCATATATATATATATTAGAGGCCCAGTGCACAAAATTTATGCATGGGGGCAAGTCCCTCAGCCTGGCCTGTACCTTTTCATAATCCGGGCCCCTCAGGGGGATGTCTGACTGCCGGTATAGGCCCGATCCTGCAGGGATACATCCCTCTTGCAATCCTGCACTGCTGGCTCCTAACTGCTTACCTGCCTGCCTGCCTCATTGCCCCTAACCACTCACCTGCCTGCCTCATCACCCCTAACCAGTCTGCCTGCCTGATCACCCCTAACCACTCCCCTGCCTTAACCCCTTGCCTACCTGCCTCACCGCCCCTAACCTACCTGTTTAGTTGCCCCTAACTACTCTGCCTGCCTGCCTGATTGCCCTAACCACTCTACATGATCGCCCCTAACCACTCCGCATGCCTTCCTGATCACCTCTAACCACTCACCTGCCTTAATTGCCTCTGCCTGCCTGCCTCATCACCCTAACCACTCACCTGCCTGTTTGACCATCCCTAACTACTCTGCTTGCCTGCCTGATTTCCCCAACCACTCATCTGCTTGTCTGATTGCCCCTAACTGCTCATCTGCCTGCCTGATCACCCCTAGCCACTCGCCTGCCTGATCATCCTTAACTGCTCACCTGCATGCCTGTTCGCCCCTCACCCCCTCTGCCTCAGCCCTGCCTCCACAGCTTCATCTGGAAGGATGTCCAGAATGACGTCTGGAAGGTTGTTTGGCTGCCTGGTATAATTAGCATATTACACTTTTATTATTATAAACTAGAGGCCCGGTGCATGAAATTCGTGAACAGGTAGGTAGGGTCCCTTGGCCTGGCCAGCAATCAGGGCTGATTGGGTCCTTTCGGCTGCTTCTGGGGAATTCCTTCCCTGACTACCGGCTGCCAGATGACGTCTTCCTTCGTTCTGGGTCATCCCCTGGTGGTCATCACATGTCATCCCCTGATGGTCAGCACACATCATAGTGAGTGGTCAAACTCCTGAGGGGACAGTTTGCATATTAGCCTTTTTATATATAGAGACTACACAAGATTCATGTACCAGGTGGGTATCTCAGCCCAGCCTGCACCCTCTCAAGTCCAGGACCCCTCGCTCCTTACCGCCACTGCCGCTGTGCTTGCCAGCTGTGAGCCCGGCTTCTGGCTAAGCAACACTCCTCCTGTGGGAACGCACTGACCACCAGGAGGCAGCTCCTGCATTAAGCATCTGCCCCCTGGTGGTCATTGCGAGTCATAGCGACAGGTCATTCAACCATTTGGTTGATTTGTGTATTAGGCTTTTATTATATAAAAGTAGAGGGGGGGAGGGCGGGTCCACCAGCCCGGCCTGTGCCCTCTCACAGTCTGGGACTCCTCGGGAGATAACGACTTGCTGGCTTAGGCCTGCTCCCGGGTGGCAGAGGACAGGCCCAATCCCTAGGTGCAGCCCCTGGTCGGGCTCAGAGCAGGGCTGATTGGGGAGTTGGGGCGCCGCCCCCTGTCATGCACAGAGCAGGACGGATCGGGAGGTTGCGATGCCACCCTCAGTCACGCTCAGGGTAGGGCCGATTGGGGGGTTGGGGCACCGCCCCCTGTCACACTCAAGGCAGGGTTGATGGGGAGGTTGTGGCGCCACCCCCTGTCATGCACAGAGCAGGGCCAATCAGGGGGTTGGGTCGCTGCCCCCAGTCACACACAGAGCAGGGCCCATCAGGGGGGTTGAGGAGCTCCCCCCTGTCACGCACAGAGCAGGGCGGATCAGGGGGTTGGGGCGCTGCCCTCTATCACCCACAGAGCAGGGCCAATCAGGGTGTTGGGGCGCCGCCACTCTCACACTCAGGGCAGGGCCGATGGGGAGGTTATGGCTCTACCCCATCACACACAGAGCAGGGCCCGTGGGGGGGGGGGGTGTTGGGGCGTCCCACCCTGTCACACACAGAGCAGGGACTGTCAGGGGGTTGGGGCGCTGCACCCTGTCCCACACAGAGCCGCAGGGCGATCAGGGGTTTAGGGAGCTCCCCCCTATCAGGCACAGAGCAGGGCTGATCAGGGGGTTTGGGCGCTGCCCCCTGTCTCACTGATCCCGGTGCTGGGAGGCCTCTTGGCTCCGCTGATCCCGGTGCTGGGAGGCCTCGCGCCTCTGCTGATCCCGGTGCTGGGAGGCATATTACCCTTTTACTATATAGGATAGAGGCCTGGTGCACGGGTGGGGGCTGACTGGTTTGCTTGAAGGGTGTCCTGGATCAGGGTGGGGGTCCCCACTGGGGTGCCTGACCAGCCTGGGTGAGGGGATGACTGTTTGCAGCTGGTCACACACCCTTCAGGGTTGGGGTCCCCACTGGGGTGCCTGGCCAGTCTGGATGAGGGGCTGAGGGCTGTTTTCAGGCTGGTGGGTGACTGAAGCTCCCAACTGCTCCTTTTTTTCTTTTTTCTTATTCTGGGCCAGCTTTAGCTCTGGCTCCAGCTCTGAGGCCTCTGCTGCTGAAAGCAGGTATCTGGTTTGTTTGGGTTCTATAATCGAAACACTGTTTCAACTCCAGCTCTGAGGTCCCGGCTGGCTGAAAGCAGGTGTCTGGGGTTTTGTTTAGCTTCTATATTTGTAACAATGTTTCAAACTGCAAGCTCAGAGGCCGGCAGCAGCAGGCAGGGAACGTTGGAGTCCTCTGTCACTGAAGCAAGCAAGCCTCATGTTAGCTTCAAGCTGCCTGGCTGCCAGCCGCCATCTTGGCTGGCAGTTAATTTGCATATCGCCCTGATTAGCCAATGGGAAGGGTAGCGGATGTATGGCTAATTACCATGTTTCTCTTTTATTAGATAGGATAGATTATTTCCTCAAATGGGTTTTCTGTTCCTTGCTCAGCTTCTTCTCCTTCTGACACCCCCACTATGCAGATGTTGTTTCATTTCATGTTGTTCCAAAGTTCCCTTAAATTCTCCTGCTTTTTAATTAATTTTTCCCATTGCTCTTCAGCTTGGGTGGTGTTTCTATCCTGTTTCCTAACACCCTGACCGGGTCCTCAATTTTCAATGTAAGTTGAAATATTTCATTGTGTTCTTTATTGCAGTTATGTCATTCTTCATTTCCTCTTGATTCTTATACAAGTTGGTGAATTTCTTATCCAGATGTTTGAGCCTCCATTTCATTTAGCTCCTTTTCTGGCAATTCCTCCTTTTCTTTCCTATGGGGATTATTTCTTTGTCTCCCCATTTTTGTTGTCCCTTTCTATTTGTTTCTATGTAATGTCAGTTGCTGTCTCTTTCTAACCCTGGGCAACCTGACTGAACTCCAAGTCATTGAAGCTAGCAGTCTAATGTTCCAGGATTCCTTAGCCCAGAGGCTGGGTCTGCCTTCAGTCTCACGCCTTTATTGTCTCTGCTCTGAGTTGTACTTCCTTCCCCCATGGATATGGTCCCTTAGTTTTCCAGTACAAACGTTCGGTGTTGATGGGAGCATGTGCACAGTTCCTCTGGTATGCAACTCCCTGTAGGGTCCCAGATCCCTCTGGCATACAATTCACTGCACAGCCTCGGCACCCACAGCAGGGTGTCACTCTAGGTTCCTCTGGCGGGTGTTGGCAGTGTGAGCCTGAGTGGGGCCCTGTTCCAGGTGCCTTAGGTGCACACTCGCAGCATGGGGTTGCAGGGTCTTGGAGTGCAGGATCCTGGAATGTGGGGTCCAGGACCCCATGTGGGGAAGCGCAGATGGTCTCTCTGGTGTGCACTCACTGTGGATGTCTGGGAGCCCGTAGTGAGGTAGTGCTCCACTCACTGCATGGGAATGGTGGTGGTCCCTTGTGAGTTATGGCTGGCGAGAGGCTCACTGCATGGGTTCACAGTGGTGTACGAGGCCAGTCTGAGTATTGGTGTGGCTGTGATCCTGGCCTTTGCTGCTCCCCCCTTCAAGATGGCGTGGTCTCCACACCAGAGCCGAGCTCAGCTAGAAGTGCCTGTGGCAGTAGCAGGGGCTCCCTGTCCAGAAGAGCCTGATCTGCCAGCCCCAGAGACTCCTGTGATATCTAACTGTCCCTCACTGACCCACGCACACACCACACACTCCCGCCTTCACTCCTATTCTCACTCACACTCTTTACCTCACTGCCATTCTGCTGGATGCCATGTTGCGATCTCCCCAGTAAAATAATTTTTTGAAATTATTATTTTATGAGATTTTTTAGGCTAACCAATGGGATTTTACTTAGCCTTATTAAGATGCCAAGAGTCCTGGCTGGGTAGCTCAGTTGGTTGGAATGTCGTCCTAATGCACCAAGGTGACAGGTTCAATTCCTGGTCAGGGCACATAAAAGAATCAAACAATGAATGCATAAATAAGTGGAACAACAAATTGATGTTCTCTCTCTCTCTCTCCCTCCCTTCCTTCCTTCCTTCCTGTTTTTTCTCCCTCCCTTCCGCTTTCTCTCAAATCAATAAATAAAAATTTAAAAATAAAAGATAGCGATTCCTCAAAAAATTAAAAATAGAACTGCCATTTGACCCAGTGACCTCACTTCTGGAAATATATTCTAGAATTCTGAAACACCAATCAGAAAGAATGTATGCACTTCTATGTTCATAGCAGCATTATTGACAATAACTAAGAATTGGAAACAGCCCAAGTACCCATCAGTAGATGAGTGGAAAAAAGATGTGGTTCATTTATACCATGGAATACTATGTAACTGTAAAAAAGAAGGATCTCTTACCCTTTGAGGCACCATGGAGGGAGCTGGAGAGTATTATGCTTAACGAAATAAGCCAGTCAGAGAGACAAGTTTCACATGATCTCATTTAAATGTAGAATCTAAGGAACAAAATAAACTGACAAACAAATAGGTTCAAAGACATGGAAGCATGGACAGACTGACAGATCTCAGAGGGGCAGAGAGGTCAGTAAGAGATTAACCAAAGAACTTATATGCATAGCCCATGGATACAGAGAATAATGTGCTGAAGGCCTGGGTTGGGGCAGGAGCTGTGCAAAGGGTGTAAAGCAGGGAAATGGACATTTGTAATACTGTTGACAATAACAATTTTTTTAAAAGTTGCCAGAAATTTCAATGTGATTCAATTCCTAACATCATATATTAATATACAATCCTATCATTGTATATTAATCCCAAAGCCCAAGTCATGTACCTCAAAATAATCAACATGCACATCATTTATTTAAAATTTTCTCCTCTTGCAAATACTTAGGATCTTATTTGTACTTATTGTAAAATTGCTTAAGAATAGAATTGTGGAACTGCCCAGTATTAATCTATATTATAGTTATTTACTGAATATATATGGCTTTAATTTTGATATTAACATAAAATCGGTCAATTTATTTATAACCTTCATGTGAATGTTCCCATATGGCCTACCCTCTTAGTGCATTGGTCCCTCTGCTGCTTACTGCCTTGTTCCTCCTCTATCCCCATGTTTCAGCCTACATCTCTTCTCAGGGCTGAACCATCTGTCTGGGGCCCACCACCAGACTCACTCCTGGGAATTAGATGTCACCTGCACACCTTCTCTAACCAATTCAGTGCCTTTAGTGTCAGGTACTCCTAGTTTGCAAGAAACTGCACATAGTGTTTACATGTTTAGTGGTGTTGCTAGAACTTGAGGGCTTGGATTTATTTAAGAACTCTGTGAATTCCTATTTTTTAATAAACATGTCTTGGTGGTAAAAATTATTGTATCTTCTTACTTTCCTTCTCATCTCTTGATTTATGTTTTCTTTCTCTCAGGCTAGCTGTAAAACTTCTTCAGTGTAACAGCTTCTCTCAGGCTAGCTGTAAAACTTCTTCAGTATAACAGCTTCAGTGTAACAGATTTTCTATCTTCATCTGTGTCAGCAGTCCTTTCTTTGCCTGCAAAGATAAAAGGAAAACAACTCCAGGAAGGAATTTGACCTCTGAATATCAGGAACATTATCTTTAAATTTCTCCAAGAATCTAGAACTAATGATTCTCAACTTAGTAATGCCCCCTTTTATAACAACTTTTTTGGTCATATTTCCCTTAGTGTTCTGAAATGAAGTTCAAAGGTAATACTTACCTATTCTTAATAATTTTTTTAGGAAAAAAAAATCTATATTTCAACACCAGTGTCTGCATCTGACATCTATAATATAAAAGAGAACAGTAAGGAAAGTCATCCATGGTAAACTACTCTGAATGTTAACACCCTCAGTACTCTGACACTGTTACACAGACAAATGTGCTGAAATGTTCACATGCCCCCTGAATTCACAGTCCCCCAGCCAAACTAACACAGATGCGGGCCAGGTGTGGCATTGCCTTCCATGTTATCATTTTCCAAACTGATGACTAATTCTTGTTAAATCTTCAAACCCAAAAAAGTACAGTCTTCCCTCAACACATAGTAATTACAGTCCTTGAAAATTTAGAAGCTATTTTACCTGTGCAAAAAGACTTTGTTTAAATGTACAAATGTTCAATTCCAAACTTGTATCATTATGAATGAAGTTTTCATGTCCAGAGATGAAAGGGAGCACTTGTAAGTCAGGTGTGACAGGAGTCAGTTCCTCACCATGGAGGAGAGCTTCACACATTGCAGGACATGTGGCAGTGCCTTTCCCTGTGCCCCAAATGTCAGCAGCATCCTCCCATATCACCAGTATTACCAAAAGTGCCTCCAATAGTTTAAATACGACCCCTAAAAGGTGGTATCATACCCATAAAAAAACACTGATAGAGAACCCTGAGGATGCCTGGTAATAACTCTGATTCTGTTTTATTAAAGAGTCTAATTGTTATACAAACCTACGTCAGAGCCATTGTTATACTGAGAGATCACTGTTAGTCTTGTTGCTCAACTGTAAGTAAACCTATTGAGTGTCAAGTCCATATTTATTGTTTTCAGAGGGTCCGATATGGTGCCAAGCAATTAATTGGTGCTCAGTAGCTGTCTGTTGAATGAATAAAGACTCATGAACACTGACCCGCTTTACAAAGCAACTAATATGTTCATTAGTAATACATACACCACTTATATCAAACTGCATTGGTAAGATATTACCATTAAGCTATTAAATGCTGGATTATACAAACCTAGAAAATAGTCAATGATCTGTACCTTGTTGGAGAAGATGATCTTTCTTCGCCTCTTAAATTTTTAAAACATAACATGTAAGAAAAAGATGCTGGTAACATTTACAGACTGGTGGGTTTTTTTTTTCTTTTAAAAAATTAAACTCTTCCATCCTTATGAAATTATTGAGAGCTTTTGAGGGCAAAGAAAAGCAATAAAGACAGTCTTATCCTTTTAGAGAGATGGTCTACACATTTAGAAGCAATAAAGCTAATACCCAAGTGCCATATGGAACAGGGATGTCTTTAAATACAGTCAGAGGCCAGAAAATTGATATTCATAGTAGTCACTTCATGGACAGGAAAGGTTTGACCACTATCTAAGTGACCAGTAGAATTTAAACTGGTCTTGGCAAGGAGAGGAGAATCTAACAGTGGCCTGATGAGTGTGGATGGGAGGCATCAGGGGAGTGGCCAGGTGATGATAGGAAGAAGAAGTTTGCCATTTTGGGAAAAAATGTAAAGAAAGTTGGTTGGCAGAGTAAGGGCCAAAATGATTATTTAATTTTGACCTGAATTACTTTAAAAACTTCATGTTAACTGTATGATACTTTTTTAAGTGTCCTCAGAGATCTGGTTGCTTTTTCATTTTACTCATTTGTGCTAGTGAAAAGAAAGTGTTCATGGTCAGTTTTTTAATTGCATGCTTAACTGATAATGTTAAGCAAGTACCCAAAAGCAAGAATTGGAAAAGAAAAAATATGTTAATCTTTTGTTATTATTTTACATTATTATTATATTATTTTGAATTGCTTTCATTCAGTTAACTAATGTTAGAACAGATGAGAACACAAAGTTAAAGGAATGCTGTGTGTTGAGCTATGCTTGGGTCTGGAATCAAAAGTCATTTACGGCTATGCCACCTTAGGTAATAATTTTACCTGGTGAACCTCAGTTTCCCCATCTTTAAAATGGAGCAATACCTCATTCATAAACACACAGAGGTCTGGATTAAGTGCAATAGGATGTAAAATAGCCCATTATGTGGCACATAGAAGGCACTTAATAACTATCGTGTCTCTTACTAGATTAAAATATTTAACCCCTTTAAGGTTAGGTACAATTTGTGTTCAGTCTGTAAATGTTACCAGTATTTCTTTTCTTATGTGTTATGTTTTAAAAATTCAACAGACAAAGGAAGATAATCTTCTCAACTAGGCATGGGTCATTGACTATTTTCTAGGCTTGTACAATCTAGTATTTAATAGCTTAATAGTAATATCTTATCAATGTGTTAGTTCTTTTGAAAATAGGATAGGTGTTCATGAGTCTTTATTCACTCAAAAAAATAGCTATTAAATCTCATAAAAATTACATCTCCTCAGCTAAGCAAGTATATATTATCTGAGTGACCTTGGTTTCTTTAAACTTCTATTTTTTAATCTATAAAGGAGGGATAATGTATAAACTCATACAGTTATTATAAGAATTAAATGAGATGATGCATGGAAACTGCTAAGCATCATTACTGGCACGTAGCAGTCTCTCAATAAATAATATCATAGTATACTTATGCTCTTAATATCATTATGATGCCTACTAAGTGCTATGTACATACACTACCTCTTTCTATCATTCTTATAGTCCTAAGTGGTATGTATTTTTATCTAGGCTTTATTGAGGTATGATTGACAGATACAATTATTTTATATATATATATATATGTATGTGTGTGTGTATATATATATATATGATTTCCCCTATCTGGCTCATTAACACATCCATTGGAAAGTATTATTCAAGTATCCAAGTTCTCATTTTTCTATGGGCAGGAGCTGAAGTATGGATAAGTTAAGTGATTTGCTCAGGGTTACCAATTGGTGAGGTTGAACTTGAACACAGATCTTCCAGTTCTAAATGGCATGATTGCCACTATGCCAGTGTGTCTCAAGCCTTTGTAATGTGTCAGGATAACTCTTTCCTTGAAACCCCACTAAAAAAATTCTTCAAAGAATAGTTTGAAAACCACTGGAGAGAATAGTAAACATTTCTTGAAATCCCAGAGCCACAAGTAACATTTTATGTAGTACCTATCCCACTTGGTACAAGCTTTCTTTTCCATTGATGAGGACGAAGATGAACAGATAACCTAAACTTAGCAATTACTCTTTATTGTCAGTGTATTTGTCCCCATGCTTTCATGCTGGCATAGTGGGCTGTGGGAGCTGGGTGAGAAATATGACTGTTAAGATTTGTTCAACCCAGCCGGTGTATCTCAGTGGTTGAGCTTTGACCTATGAACCAGGATCATTTCCAGGTCAGAGCACATGCCCAGGTTCTGGGCTCGATCCCCAGTAGGGGGCGTGCAGGGGGAAGCTGATCAGTGATTCTCATCATTGATGTTTCTGTCTCTTTCTCCCTTTCTCTCTGAAATCAATAAAAATTGTATTTTTAAAAAGATTTATTCAACACAGCCTACCTTTCAGTATTGATCACCTGGAATTATAAACATGTTTGACTTACCGCCACTATTTCATAGCAAAGCTATTTCACCTGGTTGCTGTCAGTGTTAATCATTTCTTTGGTCCCATTGAGAGTGATAATTTTCCTTATGAAAATAAATATTTTTCAGGTGCATCTAGAATATAAACAAACATGACAGTGGAGGTAATACACACCTAGACATATATTGGGTTGCAGAAGCTACCATCTTTGCCCCATAGGTAGTATTGCTCCTGGAACATGACAGTATTTTAGCAAGTTGGAAATAAAGTTTATGGGATCAGACAAATGTTAAATAGTTGTAAAAGTGAATTATAAAACAAAAATTGTGCTCACTGAAAATATGTTTTTCAATTACCTGAATATAATGCTCAGTATTTTGTGGCTATACAAAAGTCCCAAAATCTTGAAACTGGGACTAAACTCTTCAATAGAATTGAAGTAGAAGGGTGCCCTATCCCCCTCACTCGTTAGTATTCAAGGACAGGTCTATTTTTCAAAGTCTGTGTAAGGATATCTGGTAGTATTCTTTTAATCAAATTGTTGTGATTGAAAGTGGGCTCATCTGCTAGAGCAGAGTCGGTGCCAAAAGAACCTTGGAACAACAACAAAACTGATATATTCTTGTTTCACCCTGTTCTTAGGATGCCATCTTGAAAGCCAGAATTAGGCACAGTCAAAATTCACGATTTGCCACTGCTCTTAGGAACATAGGAAGATGATAACTGTTAATATTATTGATTATTCATCATTAGACAGTAAGACTCCATAGCCTCCTGCTTTTTCACCTGCAAAAAAGCAGTTAATGCTGTAAATTAAACAAACCTATGAAACAGGAATGTCTCTTTTTTAAAAAACTGAAAAGAGATGGCTGTAAGAAAACAATTACTAGTAATCTATACTTAACATTTCTTTTTTTCTCTTGTGTTGGGAAATATGCAATTCCCATCTTGGATAATAAATTCATGTTGAAGAAATGTAAAATATAAGTATGTGGTCCCAATATTTTGATAGAGTTAATGTATGAAGATAGATGTTTACATGTGGATCTTTACTATGAGAAATGCCTATATTACATTCATCAGTAATAGAATCAGATTAACAAAATGTCAGCTTTGAAAAAGGACCCTGAAGTAGCCTAACCCTGTGCCCTCTGCAAGAAACTTCCCAATGATATCCTCAGAGAGGGTGTTTCCAGCTTTTGTTTAGCTACCTCCACCTTCTCATCATTCTCCAAAGTGATAAGCATGATAATCTCTGGCTTCATCTAAATCATTAATCAAAATGTCTAGCAGATCAGAACAGTATCAGTGTTGTCATAGAACTAACAACAATATTCATGAGCTACACATTACCAAAGGTCTAGCCATCATCTGTAAATGGGGACTCTAATTAGAAATATTAACAAGGTGAAAGCTGCCCACTGATAAGTTTTCTGTATCACCAGCCTGAATCTGAAATGTTTCTCTCTTTGGGCAACATTTATCACAGAAGGCCTTTCAAGTTACCTGTCTGATGATTCTCAAAAGGTCAAGTCCATTTAAAGTGTTTCACTCTGAACATGAACAAATGAAGTTGTTTTCAATCCAGCCAGCAAGAAACGATTTGCAAATCAGAAACCTATGTTTTACTGTGTTAAGGCTCAAAGGTGATGTCCATCAGCTCCTTTTAACTGGACCTGCCCTGCTCATGCAGGCTACTCCAGAAGCCTGAGGCAGTGTGGGTCCAAGGCAAGAACTTCCCCAGACCAGCTTCATGGTGCTCCCTCTCTTCTCACCTTGGGTATCCTTGGCTCTAACATTCAATTCTACACTTGCTACCCTGGTTCAACCTGGACTCCCCCACAAACAGTCCCTGTGTTTGTCCTCGGCAATCACATGCCATGTTTGGATAAGAAGCACCCCAGGTCGTCTGGCTGCTAGTCCGCTGAACTGGCATTCTTTCTATTGGGGTATGGAGAGTTCAACCAAGTTCAGAGACTTGGGGCTTAAGCAAATTATTGGACAGGCACATTAACCTAAACCATCAGAGGGCTCCTGACACCAAGGCAATGTTGCCCTTATAGCCGCAGCAGCACTCAGAGACCAGTAGAGAAAATGAAATGATTTTGGAGACAGTCATACCTGACGTATAATTTAGCACAGACCATAGCTTGTCAAGGCTGATGAGCAGAGAGGTACTGTCGTAAGCATTTGTTAATGTAGATATTGATGTTAGTTGGCTTGTTGACAAGGCACATGTTACATGATAGAAATGGAGTAAGTTAAATTGCAACAAATTTTACTCATTCATTTATTCAGTATTTCTTGAACACCTCTCGTGCCTGCATTGTTCTGAGGAATAGAATTATAGCAAGGAATTAAACAGAAATAACCCCTACCCCACAGATCTTACATTCACACAGGGGTCAGTGGCAGATGACAAATGAGTAAATATGTACTATTTAGAAAGTAAGATATGTTTTAAATAAATTAAAGCAAGGAAAGGGGCATACAGTGACAGGGGAATGAAATCTTACCTTATGTATGATGGTCAGTGTATACCTTATTGACAAGCGGAGACCTGAAGAAAGAGAAGGAGCAAACCATTGGGATGTCTGGGCAGAGTGAGTTAAGGCAGAGAGAAGAGCAAGTGCAAAGGCCCTGAGCAAGGAGGCCACTGTGGCTGGAGTGGAGCTACTGTTTTCTCACTGCTGGTACTTCAGAAAATGTAACAGAAAATCAGACTGATTTTTCACTAGATTTGCCCTGTTTTGTTATTGCTGTTGGTTATTTGTTGTTAACTAAAAGTCCACGAGGAAAGAGTAGTTTTGTTCTGACTTGGCTGAGGAATTAATGTGTGTGTGTGTACATGTGTACATACACATATGTGTATATGTATATATATATTTAATTAAATTGGAAGAGCAGTTGATACATACATATTTATGCTTCACCTTAGTAGTGAGAGAGTTAGTCATCTACCTGATCAGAAGAGCCCTTAGGGTCTATTTTGCAACCAGTGCTTAGCGAGCAATCTTGCAGGTGCTATGATTTTCATCCTCTGAGTAAAGAAGGGGAGTTGGGTGAGGTTGTGAGTCATAGAAAATTTGAATAAGGACTCTGATTTCTTACAGGTCCCTCCACACCTATGTTTAACCACTGCAGGAGCTCTCCCATTGGTGGCAGACAATTTAATAAGCAAAACCTGGGGTGAGGGTGTTTGCTGATGCCCGTCTTCTTTTCAAGCATAGTCAGCCTTCCCTGACCTCCTAGCAGCCTGTTTGTGGGCACTCAGCTTCCTGGGACATGTTGAAATTTTTTTTCTCAATTTGTTTTTTACAAAGCCAGCATTTCTTATGTTTCTCAGTGTTTCCATGAGTCTGGCTCTAAGAGGTGACCTGTGTCAGAAGCAGGGTGATGCTATACCTGGCCAACCTGACACTGTCCAGCTATAGTGGTTCTGACCACCCAACAAGGCTGTGACCATCCACCAACACACTGGTGACCTCAGGGGACACCAGATCACAAATGAATAAACTATAACTGCAAAGCCACCCCTGATGTGTGGGAAGTGGGAAGGCTCTGAAGAGGAGAGGCATGAAGTGACTGTGACAGAGCCCAGGGCACACCCTTGCCCTGAAATGACCTGGGGGAGCCTGGCCTCCTGTATCTCCTTACAGGGGTTTTTCCTAACACCCCCCCCCCCCCCACACACACACACACTGATCCTGTAAACATTCCTAGAAGCATATGAGTAGGAAGTTTTTATTTTGTTTTCTGGGGTTTTCCAATGCCAAATTACACCACTTTATATAAGTCCCTACAAAGCCCAAACAATCTGCCATGGGAACAGTGCATTTTTCTCTGGACATTTTTCCTTACTATTTTATTTTTAATTAATTTTATGATACTTCCCTCCATGTTCTTGCTTATACCTTCTGAGTTGCTCACACCTCTGGCTTCACAATTTGAAAAGCACATGGCTTTGTGTCTGTTTTTTCTGGTTGTTTTTTGTAACTGCCGATCACAATCCATTCTTCTTTCCATGTAATTTTTATAGAACATATAATCAAGCCCATTTGCAAAAATATACAAATACTTTGCCTCATGTATGTTTCAGTGCATCCGCCCCTCTCAATTGGGAACATAAGTAGGATGTCTGCTAGGTCTTTCCTTTCCTTCTCTCCTCCGTTTCTGTTAGACACCGGCACTTACCAGGTCCTGTGCTTCGTCTCTTGGCTCTGCGTTATGTTTAGTTTCTGTTCTGTGTTCTGTGCTTGTGTGCTCCAGATCCCGGTTGCTTTGCTCCAAACACCCACAGTCTTATCTTTTCTCCAATGACATTCTGAAGCAGGGGAGCCCCTTGGAGGTAAGAGTCATCTTGTTTGGTATTCCTAAGTCCAGCCCATATAAGGAATGGAACTAACATTTGGGAACATCTATTTATAGTAGGTGCATTCCTTATGCTATCTTATATTAACCCGTACAGTAACCCTGCTGTAGGAAGTGTTGATCTCAGTTAGTACACAGATACATTCAGTGACTTCTTGAGACCTATTTCAGGGCCAGGACTAGAAACATCCTTCTTCCTGCCCAAACCTCAAAGGTGATGGAGGTTATCACTGTGAATCACCTGGACACTCATGCAGTTGGCACCTCAGTTAAGAGCATGGGCCTTGACTTGAGCTTTGAACTACTGATGTGAGGGTGGCTCTCCTGGCAGTCAGGCATCTTCATTCCTGAGCAGGACAGGAGGCTCCTTCACCAGTAGGTGGCGATGTGGCAGCACTGCAGGTGGACACAATGCACATGGCAAAGCAACCTAGTGAGGAGCCTTGAGGGAAGACAGTAAAACGTTTTTTCTTTAATTTTTTGAGGTGAAATTCACATAACATAAAGTTAACCATTTTAAAGTGACAATTCAGTGGCATTTAGTACAGTCACAATGTTGTGCAACCACCACCTCTATCTCGGTCTAAAAACATTTTCATCTAGAGTGAAACTCCTTAACTATTAAGCAGATTTTCCCCACCTCACCATTCTTGGACCCCAGGACAGCAGCCAATCAGCATTCTCTCTATGAATTTACCTAGTTTGGTATTTCTTATAAATGGAATCATGTAATATGTGTCCTTTTGTATTTAGCTTCTTCCACTTGGCATCATGTTTTCAAGGTTCATTCTCATAGCATGTATCAGTACTTCATTTTTTTCTTTTGACTGAATAATAGGTATGGATAGGCCACAGTTTGCTTATTCAGCCACCCATTAATGAACATTTGGGCTATTTTCACCTTTTGGCTGTTGTGACTAGAGCTGCTGTAACATGGGTGTACATGTATTTCCTTGAATCCTTGTTTTCAATTCTTTGGGGCATATACCAAGAGGGAAATTGTGGAGTTTTTTGGTAATTCTCTGTTTAACTTTTTGAGGACCCACCAAATTTTTCCATAGTTGCTGACCCATTTTGTTGCTGACCCAGCAATGTTTAAGATTTTCAAATTTTTTTTGACCATGACTCACAGTAGAAAATATACATATTTTACATTACCACCCAGCATTCAAATATGTGGAGCTATATATAACATATGTATATATCATACATATTTAAATATATAAAACAAATTTCATGAAATTGTGTTTACCCTTACTACCATATGATGTACTCTGATGTGACCCACCAAATTAGTTCCATAATCAAAGCAAAATGAAATCTTAAAAATTAGCTGTTAAGATTAGAGTACTATTCTAAGTATATATAATAATATAACATATCTCCTTTCCATTTGAATAGTCAAAGAATTTAGGGTATCATTCATCAACTTATCAATATGTATAAGTTTTGGGACATATTTAACTTGTGAAAATAACATTGTATATGTTATATTCTCAAATACAGGCAATTTAGCTCACATGCAAATATAATTTATATTGTATGTACTTGGTACTGTGAGAATTATAATTAGCTGGCATTTTATATTTTTTTGGTTTTATATTTTTTTATATCCATGGTTTCTAAGAAAAGTGCTGTGACACATGTTATTTTCATTTATTGAATGGCTCAGTTCTTTCAGTATCACTTGAGTATTTTGTAGAGTGATACTAAAGAGCAGAGTGGTGAGGACAAAAAGAACAAGTGACAGTGATAGAAGAAGAGAGAGGAAAAAGTAGAATCGAGAAAGCTAGGAGAAGCTTATCAAATGTGTAGCAATTGTGATCATTGTTAAGAATCACCCAAAAGTGAGCTTTCCTGGAAGGAGTGGTGTTTGGGACCACGAGAGATGAATGGTGAGAGCCCACTCTGTCAAGCAGTTCCCTAGATAGGAATTAGGGGGTCCGTAGGCCTAGATGAGAAATGTTACATTTTACTTTTTATTAACCTCCAACCAAAACTTAGTATTTTCTTCAAATGCAAATATAGGCAACAAGCATAGTATTAGCATTACATTCCTGTTGGACATCACTGGCCTAATGTCAGATCCGAGTTCCAGTCTGAGATTTTGCTATCAAATGAAACCACAGACATTTTCATCATATTACAGTTGCTTTAGGTGGGCTTAAATATTGTTTCTGTTCATTATTTTATTTTAATATTATTATAAGTATTAGGCTTGCCCTGGATTGTGTTACTTAATGTGTTATCAAAGAATGCATGTATACAATACCACACTTTTGTAAATATTTAAATAATTTGATAATTGTACTTCAAAGTATCTGGTTTCCTTTGGAATCCCATGTATTTTGTCTTATTTGTGTAAACACATTCTGAAAAGGATTCCATGGGCTTTGACAGATGCTAGAGGAGTTCGTGGCACAAAAATAGTTAAGAACCTCCTACCTAGAGCCTCACTGTCCAATAAGAGAGCCACCGGCCACTTGCAGCTCCCGAGCACCTGGAATGTAGCCAGTCCAAACTGAGATGTACTATGAATGAACTGAGATGCGGCTTCAAATATTTAGTGCAATAAAAGAATATTAAATGCCCCACTGATAATTATATATTTATCTCATGTTGGGGTACATTGGTTACATAAAATATATTAAATTTAATTTCACCTGTTTGTTTTTAATTATTATAATGTAGGTGCTAAAAATTTTTAAATTGCATATGTAGCTCGCATTACATTTCTGTTGGACATCACTGGTCTAACGTCAGTTCTGAGTTCAAATCTTGACTCTATCACATAACCAGCAATTATCATCATCATCACTGATATTGTCATTATTTTACCATGTCCTAGCTTCTGGATCCCTATAAATTTCAATTTCCTTATCTGTAAAAGTAGATATAAGCCCAAAGGAGAGAGTTTGGCTACTTAATCTAGATAGAGCCTTCTTCCTAATACATTTCTTACTTTATTATCACAAAGGCCCTTCACCCATGTCCCTTTTTTTTTACTCCTCTGCTACCCATGCTAATGAATAAAAAATTAAAATTATATATGTGAAGTGATATACAAAGATAATGATATAAGAATTCATAGATGAAGTGATTTTTTTTTAAAAAAATTAAAGGATAAACAAGGGATAATTCCCTTGGAAAGCAAAAAAAAAAAAAAGAAAAAAAAGATGGAAAATGTTTTGAAGTGGGTTAGAATAGTAGGTAGATTACAGTTGCCACCCATCTGTATTTATTCAGAGAGGTTGAGGTGGCATTTGGATACAACCCAAGCAAACCACTAGTATATTCCTGGAGTTTGGAAATGGCCACTTGAAAGGCAGGATAACCTGGTGTGTCCCTAGATCAGAAACTAAAAGTCCAGTGGGCTATGTGCAGGAGGTGGGAAAGGTGGCAGTGTGTCTCTTTAAGAGTAAAAGGGTTGAGGAGGGACTCTGGCCTATTGTTTATCTAATCTTTACTGTGTTGGAGCCCTGAGCATTTTAACTCTAGCGCTCTGGGAATAAAAGCTCTTTCATCTACAGAATCTCCTTTGAGATGATGAAACAACTTTCTGTAGATAGCAGAGTATATTATTACGTACCCCTTATAAATGAGAAGAGAATTGTACAAACACACAAGTGAATACTGTGGCCAGTGCCTGGTAGAGAAGGGGCTAACTGTGAGCTTGCATTTCTCCATAGCTAACACAGTAGGATCAGAAGCATGCCCTGCACCTCCATTTCCCTGGGCTTCTCTGAGTAACCTTATCCACCCTGACTGTCTGCAAAAATCATTATTCTCACTCTCGCTCCTAAGCTGAGCCATGCGTTTGGAATTGCTCTCACCACCAGCCAGTTAAGCTTTTGCCTGCCACCATTCAGACAGTTCCTGACAGCTCCACCTTCCTACACAAAGCCCTGCCTGTCTGGTCAAAGTAGGTGGTGAGTTACCCACCCTTTCTAAAAACATGCCTTTCAAGACTTTCTATCCTCCAAAATATACTTGCTCCTTCACAGTTACATGTTCAGCTGTGTGTGAACTGTGCCTGTGGTGGAGAACATGTATGTGTGTCTCTGCTTCCCTATTGTGGGGCTCAGACCACAGTCTTTGAAAGGCAGATATCAGAGCATCTGAACCACACAGCACCATGAACAATGGTAATTTTGAAGACTTTGAAGATCTAATCAGTGATGCTCAATAAAGTAGACACTTTTTGTTAAGGCATTAGTTCCAAATGAAGAGATGTTCTATGTATCTTTAATTCTTTAGTTCAACTCTTCTCCACCTCAGTGATAATAACCTAGCAACAACTAGGTTCTTCCTGGTTTACAAGACTTGTCCAGTTTCTATCAGTTTTCCTCTGGACTAAACAAAGCACTTTGATATTGCATTACTAATTTCACAGCAGATAGCTTATTTTCATACTGATTTATCTCTTTCTAACTTTCAATTATTTTTTGGTGCTGTGTCATCTCTTCCTAATCAGCCAGTGTGTGCTTCCTACTGGACACTTTTGATACTAGCAGTATCTATAATAATAAAAGCATAATATGCTAATTAGACTGGTCAGCCAAACGACCTTCCGGATGTCATTCCGGACATCCTTCCCGACAAAGCCTCGGTAGCAGGGGCCGAGGCATAGGCAGTTAGGGGCAATCAGGCAGGCAGGCAAAGGCAGTTAGGGGCAATCAGGCAGGCAGGCAGAGTGGTTAGGGGCGATCAGGCAGGCAGGTGAGCAATTAGGGGTATCAAGCAGGCAGGCAGAGTGGTTAAGGGTGATCAGGCCGGCAGGTGAGCAGTAAGAGCCAGCAGTCCCAGATTGTAAGAGGGATGTCCAACTGCCAGTTTAGGGATCCCTATGGGATCGGGCCTAAACTGGCAGTCAGATATCCCCCAAAGGGTCCCGGATTGCGAGAGGATGCAGGCCGGGCTGAGGCCCCCGCCCCCCCCCATCATTAATTTCATGCACCGGGCCTCTAGCCTATAATAATTAAAGCATAA